TTTCATTCTTGATATTGTTAACTTGTGCTTTCTCTCTCTCTTTTTTCTTAATTGGCCTTGCTAGGAGTTTATCAATTGTATTAATCTATTCAGTGAAACAACTTTTGGCTTTGTTAATCTTATCTATTTTTTTTTATTTTCTATTGCATTCATTTCTGTTTTTTATTATTAGTAAATTCTTCCTTCTACCTGCTTTTGATTTAATTTACTCTTCTTTTTCTACATTCTAATGGGTTAAAAGTTAAAACAATGGTTTCAAACCTTCTTTAATATTAAATAACATGAACAATAAAGCTATAAATTTCCCCAACTAAGCACTACTTTGAATGAATTCCTCAACTTTTTATATGTTGTATTATCGTTATAATTTCATTTGACATATTTTCTAACTGTAATTTATCTGACCAATTGGTTATTTAGAAGTATATTGTTTAATTTCCAAATATTTGGGGCTTTCTAGATATCTTTACTATTACTGATTTCTAGATTATTTCCTTGATGGATAAAGAACATACTTTTTTAAAATATTAATTTTTTGAAATGTATTGAGACTTATTTATGGTCTGGTCTGGTGAATGTTGCATGTGCACTGGAAAGAATATGAATTCTGCTGTTTTTGTAGTGTTCTATAAATATGTTTTATATCAAAGTATCTGATAGTGTCCTTCAGACCTTTTATGGCTTTACTGAATTTTTTTTTTGTCTAGTTCTTCCATAAATTACTGAAAGAAGGATGTTAAAATTTTCAGTTATGATTGTGGATTTGTCTATTTTTCTGTCTTTAGTTTTCCTCAGATTTTACTGTATAAAATATATATTTTATTAAATATATATTATATATTTTATTAAATATATATTTTATAAATATATATTTTTCATATAAAAATATATATATATATTTAGGCAAGGTCTCACTCTGTCCCCTGGGCTAAAGTGCAATGGTGTCATTATAGCTCACTGCAACCTCAAACTCTACGGTACAAGAGATCCTCCTGCCTCAACCTCCCAAGTAGCTGGAACTACAAGTGTGCACCACCATTCCCAGCTAATTTTTCTTTTTTTTATAAAGAAGGGGTCTTACACTTGCTTAGGCTAGTCTCAAACTCTTGGCTTCAAGCAATGATCCCAACTCGGTTTCCCAATGTGCTAGGATTACAGGTATGAGCCATTGATCCCAGGTAATTAATAAATTTTGGAGCTCTTTTATTAGAAACATTGATGATTATTATACCTTATCTCTTTTTACCTTTGATGATACCTTTTGTCTTAAAGTCTATTTTTTCCTTAAAATTTTTTTTACTGATAAATAATGGATGTATATATTTTGGGTGTACATGTGATACTTTAATACATTTATGTAATTTTTAAAAATGAAATCAGTGTAATTGGGATATCCATCACCTTAAATATTTGTCTTTTCTTTGTGCTAGAAACATCTGAATTATTCTCTTCTAGCTATTTGGAAATATACAATAGGTTATTATAAACTATAGGCACCCTACTAATCTATCAAACATTAGATCTTATTTCTTCTATCAAACTGTACACTTGTACCTATCAATCAACCTTTCTTCATTACCCCCAGCTTCTGGTAATCACTTATCTACTCTCTATCTTCATAAGAGCCTCTTTTTTAGCTCCCATGTATGTGTGATAACATGCCATATTTGACTTTCTATCCCTGGCTTATTTTACTGAACATAATGAGCTCCAGTTCCATCCATGTTGCTGCAAATGACAGGATTTCATTCCTTTTTATGGATGAATAATATTCTTTTGTGTGAAATGTGAAAATATATCACATTTTCTTTATCTATTAATCCATTGATTGCCACTGAAGCTGATTCTATATTGTGGGTGTTGTGAATAGTGCTGCAATAAACTTGGGCATACAGATATCTCTTCAATATATTGATTTCCTTTCTTTTGGATATATTTCCAGTAGTGGAATTGCTGGATCATATGGTAGTTTTATTTTTAGTTTTTGAAATTTTTTAGTTTTCCATACTGGCTGTATTAATTTACATTCCCACCAACAGTGTACAGGGTTTCCCTTTCTCCACATCCTTGTCAGCATCCTTTATTGCCTATCTTCTTGGTAAAAGTCATTTTAATTGGGGCGAGATGACATCTCATTGTAATTTATATTTCTCTGAGGATTAGTGATGTTGAACATTTTTGCATACATATTGTGGCCATTTATTTGTATATCTTCTTTTGTGCAGTGTCTATTCAGATCATTTTGCCCATTGTTAAATCAGATTGGTTTTTGCTATTGAGTTGTTTGAGCTCTTTATATATTCTGGTTATCAACCCCTTTCCAGGTAGATAGTTTGCATATATTTTCTTTTATCCTTTGGGTTATCTCTTCACTTGATTGTTTCCTTTGCTGTGCTTTTTAGCTTGATAAAATCCCATTTGTCTATTTTTTCTTTGGTTGCCTGTGCTTTTGAGGTTTACATAAATGTTCTGGAACATTTCCCCAATGTTTTCTTCTAATAATTTCATAGTTTTAGGTCTTAAATTTAAGTCTTTAATCCATTTTGATTTGACTTTTGTATATGGTGAGAGTGGGTCTAGTTTCATTCTTATGTTGTGGTTATCCAGTTTTTCTAGCACCATTTATTGAAGAGACTGTCCTATCCCACATCTTTTTATAGTTGGAGGAAATGTTTTCAGCTTTCTCCCATTCAATATGTTAGCTGTGAGTTTGTCATATATGGCCTTATTGTGTTGAGGTATGTTCATTCTATACTATGTGTAGTATGTTGAAGTTTTTATCATGAAGGAATGTCAAATGCTTTTTCTGCATCTATTGAGATTGTCATTGGATTTTTGTCCTTAATTCTATTTATGTGATACATCACTTTTATTGATTTATATATGTTGAACAATCCTTCCATCACTGGTATAAATCTATAAATCTCATTTGATCATAGTGTATTTTTTATGTGCTGTTGAATTTAGTTGGCTTGTATTTTATTGAGCATTTTTGCATCCATATAGTTTTACAATTTCAGGTCTTACATTTGAGTTTTTAATGCATTTTGAATTGATTTTTGTATTTGGAGTGAGATAAGGGTCCATTTTCATTCTTCTGCCTGTGGATACCCAGTTTTCCCATCACCATATAAAGAAACAGTCCTTTCTCCATTGTATGTTTTTGGCATCTTTGTTGAAGATCAACTGACTGTCAATGAGTAGATTTACGTCTGAGCTCTCTATTCTGTTCCATTGGTCCATTTGTCTCTTGTTATGGCAGTACTGTGCTGTTTTGATTACTATGGCTTTGTAGTAATTTTGATATCAGGTATTGTAAAGCCTCTAGTTTTGTGTTGTTTTGTTTTTATTTTGCTCAAGATTGCTTTGGCTATTTGGGGTCTTTCATAGTTCCATATGGATTTTAGATTTGTTTTTTTCTTCTTTGAAAAATGTCATTGGAATTTAGATAGTGATGCATTGAATCTGTACATTGCTTTGGGTAGAATGGACATTTAAACAATATTAGTTCTTCCAATTCATGAACAATGAATATCTTTTCATTTATTTGTGTCTTCTTCAATTTATTTCATCAATGTTTTATGGTTTTCAGTTTACAGATCTTTTATCCTCTTGGTTACATTAACTTCTAAGCATTTTTGTAGCTATTGTAAATGGGTGCTTTTCTTTATTTCTTTTTTTTTCAGATAGTTCCTTGTTATTATATAGAAATGCAACTGATTTTTGTATATGGAATTTGTATCCTGCAACTTTACTGATTTTATTTATTAGTTCTAACAGTTTTTGGTGGAGTCTTCAAGGTTTTTTATATATAAGATCACATTGTAGGAACATAGAGACACTTTAACTTCATCCTTTACAATTTGGATGCTTTTCATTTCTTTCTCTTACCTCATCACTCTGGCTAGGACTTCCAGTAGTACATTGGATCAAAGTGTCAAGAGTGAGCATCCTTGTCTTATTGCTGATCTTAGAGGAAAAGCTTTCAGTGTCACTGCTGAGTATGATGTTAGCTGTGGGTTTGTCATATATGGCCCTTATTGTGTTGAAGTATGTTTCTTCTATACCCACTTGTTGAAAATTTTTACCATGAAATGGTGTTGAATTTTGTTAAATGCTTTTCCAACATCTATTGAAATGATCATATGGTTTTGTCCTTAATTCAGTTAATGTGGTGTAACAAATTTATCAATTTATGTATATTGAACCATTCTTGCATCCCAGGGATAAATTCCACTTGCTCATTGTAAATGATCCTTTTAATGTGCTGTTGAATTCAGTTTTCTAGTATTTTCTTGAGGATTTTGGCATCTATGTTCATAAGAGATATAGGCCTATAATTTTCTTTTCTTGTAGTGTCCTTGTCTGGCTTTTGTATCAAGGTAATGCTGGCCTTGTAAAATGAGTTTTACAATATTCCTTCCTCTTCAGTTTTTGGAAGCATTTGAGAAGGACTGGTATTAGTTCCTTAAATGTTTGGTACAATTCAGTAGTGAAGCCATAAGGTCCTGGGCTTTTCTTTGATAGGAAGCTTTTTATTACTGATTAAATCTCCTTACTCATTATTGTTCTGTTCAGATTTTCTGCTACTTCATGATTCAGTCTTGATAGGTTATATGTTTTTAGTAATTTGCCCATCTTTTCTAGGTTATCCGGCTCATTGGCATATAACTGTTCACAGTAGTCTCTTATGTTCCTTTCTATTTCTGTGGTATTAGTTGTAATGTCTTCTCTTTCATTTCTGAATTTATTTATTTGAGTCTTCTCTCTTTGTTCGTAGTCTAGCTAAAGGTTTGGTAATTTTACCTTTTCAAAAAACCAACTCTTAGTTTCATTGATCTTTTCTATTATTCCTCTTGTCCCTATTTCATTTATTTCTGGTCCGATATTTATTATTTCTTTCGTTGTACTAACTTTTTCCTTCTTCTTTTTCTAGTGCCTTGAAGAAAATATGTTCCTTGTGGTATAACAGTAGGTTGTTTGAGATTTTTCTTGTTTTTTTTTTTAATATTTTATTACATAATCTTTTCATGGCACCATCAGGAGTAACAGAAAACGTTATTCCCAGTTCCTACGCCACATCCTGAAAAATATACATTTGTATTTATATATTTATATCAATACTCCACCCCTATCCCATAATTCCACCACCTATTGTAGGTCTTTTGCTTAAAGCAGGAAACTATTCTCTTAGGTAAGAAAATATATATGGAGCTAAATGAAGTAACGGTTAGAGTAACTGGGGACAGTTGGTTGTGGGGTGGGGAGGAAGGGGTTAAGTCCAGCCTAGCAGGATGCATCACTGGGTCCATCAAGGTGGAGGAGGGCAGTGTATAAAAAGGCAGCGTCACGCAGGTGGGCTCTGGTATCCTTGGTCCATTAGGAGATGGCCTTTGCCTCAGGAAGGAAGGCTTCCCAGTACTTTGCCAGCTGTTGCTGTGAATATAGGAGTGTCTCAAGGTACTTGATCACGTGGTTTTTGAAGTCCTTGGATTTCTCTTTCTCAACCTGTATCACTTCTTTTCGGACCACTGTTGAAATCCTTTCAAAGTCCCTTTCATACTGAGTTACCCGAGACTCCCACTCTAGAATCTCATCCTTGGCCTGCTGCAGCTTGTTGGCCCACAGCAGCCGAGCCTCAGCCTCCCGCTTCTTCTGCAGCGTGGCTTGAGCATCCTGCCAGCGCTGCCATGTCTTCATGCGCTGGTCGAAGGCAGCTCGAACTATGGCCAGGAGGCGAATGTAGTCACTCAGGAGCTCGGCAAGGAGGAAAGAGTCATTGTTGGCCTGTTCCTGGTGGAGCTGCTCATTTTTTTCTTCTACCTCAGCCAGCTGGGAGAGTGCCCGTGACAATGCCGTGTTGTCCTCAGAGCTCCCAAGCATGGCTAGACTCTTTGCAAACTGGGCTGTGTTCAGTGCTAGCTCTTTCCTATGGTTGACTAGAGTTTCTACAACAGCATGCAGTTTCCGTAAGCGCTGCTCCTCACACTCTACCTCCTGGGGCTTCTCCTCAAACCAAATGTCTGATTCATTCATCTTAATGGTCATTTTGCTGACTGCGTCGGTAGCTTTGTTGAACATCTTGAGGAGACCAGCGCCACTCAATGTCTGGGTGCTCACAGCATGTGGCAGCTCTTCTTAAAAATATGGAACGCTTCACGAATTTGCGTGTCATCCTTGCACAGGGGCCATGCTAATCTTCTCTGTATCGTTCCAATTTTAGTATGTGTGCTGCCAAAGCGAGCACTTTTCTTGGTTTTTGATATAGACATTATTGCTGTAAATTTCCCTCTTAGAACTGCGTTTGCTGCATCCCATAAGTTTTGGTTTGTTGTGTGTCCATGCTAATTTGTCTCAACATATTCTTTTTAATTTCCCTTTTAATTTCTTTTTTGATCTACTGATTATTTAGAGATATATTTTCACATATTTGCAAATTTTCTGAAAATCCTCCTGTTATTGATTTCCAGTTTCATAAAATTGTCATCAGAAAAGATACTTGATATGATTTCAATCTTCTTAAATTTGTTAAGATTTGTTTTGTGGCTTGACATATGATCTATCCTGGGGCATGTCCTGTGTGCACAGGGGAATATAGCAGTTAGATGGCACGTTTCATATATGTCTTTTAGGTTCATTTGGTTCTAATGTATAATTCAAGTTCAATAATTCCTTATTGATTTTCTGTCTAATTATCTCTCTATTTTTGAAAGTGGAGTATTGAAGTTCCCTACTATTATTGTATTGCAGTCTATCTCTCCCTTAGCTCTATTAACATTTGCTTCATATTTAGGTATTCCAATGTTGGGTACATATATATTTATAATTGTTATATTGTCTTGATGAATTGACCCTTTTATCATTATATGACCCCCTTTGTCTCTTTTTACAGTTTGACTTAAAGTCTATTTTCTCTGGTATAAATATAGCTACTCCGGCTCTCTTTTGGTTGCATTTGCATGGACTATCTTTTTCCAACCCTTGACTTTCAATTTATACATGTCGTTAAAGATGAAATGAGTCTCTTGTAGGTAGCATATAGTTGGGTTTTTTATTTTTAACTATTCAGCCACTCTATGTTTTTTGATTGGAGAATGTAATTCATTTACATTCAAGACAATTATTGATAGATAAAGACTTACTGCTGTCATTTTATTAATTGTTTTCTGGTTGTTCTGTAGATTTTTTCATTTGTGTCTTTCTCTATTGCTGTCTTTCTTTGGGATTGGAAGATTTTTTTGTAGTGTATGCTTTGATTCCTTATTTTTTATCTTTTGTTTACCAACTATAGGTTTTGCTTTGAGGTTACCATGAGGCTTACATAAGTTATAGTTATAACAGGGTATTTCAAGCTGTTAATAACTTTTAACTATCATTGCAAAAAAAAAGAAAAAACCCTTTAAAGTTTTACTCCATCCTCACCCACCCCATTTTCTAAAGCTCTTTGTTAACATGGGTTCAAGTTATTGTCTAATGTCCTTTCCTTTCTGCCTGAAAAATTCCCTTAGCTTTTTTTGTAGGGCAGGTGTACTAGCAGCAAACTCCCCAGGTTTTTGTTAACCTGGGAATATCTTAATTTCTTCTTCATTATTGAAGGGTAGTTTTTTCTGGTTTTAGAATTCTTGTTTGACAGATTTTTTTTTCCTTTCAGCACTTTAAATATGTTATTCCACTGCTTTCTTACTTAAATGGTCTCATGAAAATTTGGCTATTAATCTTTTTGATGATCACTTGTACATGATGAGTCACTTCTCTTGTTACAATTCTCTCTTCATCTTTTGGTAATGTGGTTATAACACGTCTTGATGTGATACTTTTTGCATTTTGCCTCATTGGAGTTATTTAAACTTCTTGGAATTTTAGATTTGTGACTTCCATCAAATTTGGGAAGTGTCTGGCCATAATTTCTTCAAATATTCTTTCTGACCCTTTCTTTCTCTTTTCCTGTGACTCCCATAATGTGCATGTTGGTATTCTTGATTGTTGTCCCATAGATCTTTTAGGCTTTGTTCACTTTTCTTCATTCTCTTTTCTTTTTGCTCCTTATTCAGAATAATTTCAAATATACTATTTTCACATTTATTGATTCTAATTTCTACCTGCTTTAATCTGCAATTGAACTCCTTGAGTGAATCTTTCAGTTATTGCATTTTCTCATGCAGAATTTGTTTCTTTTTATAATTTCTATTTCTTTATTGATAGTCTCATTTTAGTTCATGTATTATTTTCCTAGATTCCTTTTGTAATTGTCTGTGTTTCCTTTTAGCTTTTCAAGCATAGCTAGGAAAGTTATTTTAAAATCTCAGTCTAGTAAGTCAAAAGTCTTAGCTTCCTCAGAGGCAGTTTCTGTCAGCTGATTTTTCTTGTGAATGGGCCATATTTTTTGTTTCTTAGTATGTCTTGTAATGTTTTGATGCAAATTGGGCTTTTTAAATATTATAATGTGGTAACTCTAGAAATCAATTCTCCTCCTTCTCCAAAGGTTGCTATTGTTGATTACTGAGGGCTGCAATAACCCATTTAATGACTTATCCAAGATATTTTTTGCAAAGACTGTATGTTTTCCTTGTTTGTGGTTGGTTTGTGATCTGTTCCATTATCTAAGTGGTCAGCGAGTGACCTAAAAGAAATTTCCTGAAACAACAAAATTTATCTACCCTTTTTTCATTAAACAATTCAGTGTTTGCTGTAAGTTTTGGATTATATATATATTAGAGATGGGGATCTCTCTCTGTCACTCAGGCCGGAGTACAGTGGCATGATCCTAGGTCACTGCAACCTCAAACTCCTGGCCTCAAACAATCCTTCTGCCTCACCCCCTTGAGTAGCTGAGATCACAGGTGAATGCCACCACACCCAGCTAATTTTAAAAACTTTGTTATAGACAGGGTCTTGCTATGTTTCCCAGGCTGGAGTCAAATTTCTGGCCTCAAGTGATCCTCCCACCTCAGCCTCCCAATTGACTTGGATTATAGGTGTGAGCCACCACACCCAGCAGGATTATATTCTGAAGTTCTGAAACAGTTGATCTGTCAGTCATTGACAGTTTGTTTATTTCAGTGGAGGGGCCAATTCTTTGAGCATCTTACTCTACCATTTTCTGTGATGTCACTTCTACCTTCCTTTCTGATATTAATATTATTTTTATTTTATTTTTATTTATTCTTTAAATTATTATTTTTGTTTCCTGGGTCTTGGAGAATGAGAAGAGATTAATCTATGCAAAATAATATCATGTGTTTTCCTTCAATGCTTGGCATTCCTACCTTAACATCCTACTAATACAGTGTTTCAGCCATGCATGTATCATACTGTCTCCCAGTTAATTTGGTTAAATTGTAAATAAATTCTTTTCCTTATATAAGATAAAGCAACATGGTAACATTCAGTCTCATTTTGTTGTTTATAGCCATCAATCATGCTAAGTTAAAAAATTACATTGATATTTATTTTTTCTATTCACTTTCTGTTCCCTGTTTTTCTTTCAGGTACATTTTCCTTCTCACAAAATGACTGAACATATAAATTTCCCTCAAACTGCAGGTAAGTTATTATTTGTATATAAAGTATCATAATTTTCAAATATTCAATGAAATTAGGAACATGAACCCATATATCATAATTATTATCAAGACTTTCCTTCAAAAGGTAAATTACACTATGATTTTTCTTTGTTTTTGACATGAAAGCCTATGGAATTACAGTATTAGTGGAACATCAAGCAAAGCAAAATACAAGTGGCCTTACAATCTGGAAACCTAGATAATTTTTTATTTTATATCTATTATTGTAATATTAGTAAACCATTTTATTACATTTATTTATATGTTTTTCCAAACTTTTTGTCTACCCTGTAGATCTATCTAGTGAAGAGGTTTTTCCAATTCAAGCAGCTGTTCAGTGATATCATTATGGAGACACATTCAACATATCACCCAAAGGCAATAATCAAAATATTGAACAACCAATACACCATGATCCTGGAAAAACCAGATCACACAATTCTACTTCATTAGAGTTCTGGAGGCCTGCTGCTGTGCTGTGCTGTGTTGAGGTTGAGAGAATGGGAGATTCCTAAGGGAATAAAGGTAGTCAGGGTGATGCATGTAAGGTGATACTTGGACATCTTCAGGCAGCAACTTTACCAATTAGTACAGAAGTATTTTAGTATTCTAACTATTGGAACAGTTGTAGCTGTGCAGTGATTGCATATCCATTCAGAGCATACTGCAGTCATCTAATTAAAATGAAGAGAAAATAGTATGATAGTTAAAACACTTGCACTAGATGAGCAAGCAGTCACATTTCTTTTCTTTTTTTCTTTTCTTTTCTTTTCTTTTTTCTTTTTTTTTTTTTTGAGACTGAGTCTCACCGTGTTGCCCTAGCTAGAGTGCCATGGCATCAGCCTAGCTCACAGCAACCTCAAACTCCTGGGCTCAAGCGATTCTTCTGCCTCAGCCTCCCGAGTGGCTGGGACTACAGGCATGCCTGGCTAATTTTTTCTATTTTTGGTAGAGATGGAGTTTCGCTCTTGCTCAGACTGGTCTTCAACTCCTGAGCTCAAACGATCTGCCCGCCTGCCTCAGGCTCCCAGAGTACTAGGATTACAGGCGTGAGCTACCGCGCCTGGTCCACATTTCTTTATAACATACAAGAATCCTTGGGTTGTAGAGAGTGCTCTCTAATTAAGGATTTATGGGGGAAAAAATCAGATGAAGATGTGATTGAGAAGTATAGTTTTATTTTTTTTATTTGAATAGATTTAGGGGGTACAAGTGAAGTTTTGTTATGTGAATATACATATAGTGGTGAAGTCTGGGCTTTTAGTGTGCCGGTCACCTGAATAGTGTACATTGTATCCATTGGGTACATTTTCATTCCTCCCCACCCTCCCAGCCTCCCCAGTTCTGAGTCTCCAATGTCCATTATTTCACTCTATAAGACCATGTGTACCAATTGCTTAGTTCCTACTTTTAAGTAAAAGCATGTGGTATTTAGTTTTCCATTCCTGAGTTACTTCACTTAGGATAACGGCCTTTGGTTCTATTCAAGTTGCCGCAAAAGACATTATTTCATTCTGTTTTATGGCTGAATAGTATTTCATGGTGAATATATATACTATATTTTCTTTACACACTCATTGGATGATGGCACTTAGGTTAATTCCATATCTTTGCTATTGTGAATTGTGCTGCAGTAAACATACAAATATAGGTGTCTTTTTGATATAATGACTTCTTTTCGTTTGGGTAGATACCCAGTAGTGGGCTTACTGAATCGAATGGTAGATCTACCTTCAGTTCTTTGAGAAGTCTTCATACTGTCTTCCATAGAGGTTGTACTAATTTACATTCCCACCAATAGTGTATAAATGTTCCCTTTTCACTACATCTGTACCAATATCTTTTTTTTTTCAATAATGGCCATTCTAATTAGAGTAAGATGGTATTTCATTGTGGTTTTAATTTGCGTTTCTCTGATTGATTAATGATGTTGAGCATTTTTTCATGTTTGCTGGCCTTTTGTATATTGAAAGGTATAGTTTTAGAAAAAGCCCTGAAATGGGAAATTTAGCTTAGTTTGAACATTACAATGTGAAGAAATAAAGGATTTTAACATGATTAGAATTTAATACTTTAGCCTTATATGTATTCATACATCTGTTTCATACAATAATAAAAGTTTTAAGAACATATATTGAGATGCAGAAAGCTATTTTGGAACATAAGATATTAGCTTCAGAATTATTACTTTAAATGCCTGGAAAAATTTAAGATACTTAATCCCCAATGCAGCAGTGTTAGGAAATGAGGCCTAATGGGGTGATTAGGCCATGAGAGCAGAGTGAATGGATTAGTTCTGTTATTGAGAGAGTGGGTTTGTTTTCACAGGAATGGGTTGGTTATAAACTGATTTTGATCTCCATTTGTCTGTCTGTCTCTCTGCCTCTCTCACCCTCTCTTGCCCTTCTGCCTTCCCCATGGGATGACACAGCAAGAAGGCCCTCAAAAGATGCTGGGCCCTTGATCTTGGACTTACCAGCCTCCATAACTATAAGAAATAAGTTTCTGTTCCTTATAAATTATCTAGCCTCAGGTATTCTGTTGTAGCAACGCAAAATGGACTAAGACAGAAAACTGGTACTGAGAGGTGGGACTGTTGTTATGTCAAATATCTGAAAATGTAGAAATGGCTTTGGACTGGGTAATAGATAGAGGCTTGAAGAATTTAGAGGAGTAGGCTAGGAAAAGGTTAAGTTTCCATAAATGGAGTATGTCTGAGCCCATTTTCCATTACGATAAAGGAATACCTGGGGCTAGATAATTTATAAAGAAAAGAGGTTTATTTGCCTTACAGTTCTTCAGACTGTATAAGCAGCATGGTGCCAGCATTTGCTTCTGGTGAGGGATTCAGGGAACGTTCACCCCTGGTGAAAGGCAAAGGGGAACAGGCATCACATGGTGAGAGGAAAGAGGGGACAGGCTCTTTTTAACAATTAGATCTCACAGAAACTACTAGAGTGAGAAGTCACTTGTTACTATGAGGATAGCACCAAGCCACACCCCGCCTCCATGACTCAAACACCTCCAACACTGAGGATCAACTTTCAACGTGAGATTTGGAGGGCGTAAGTATCCAAACGGTATCAGGGTGTTAAAGGTGATTCTGGTGAGGGCTCAGAAAAAGAGTAGAGCTGTAGAGAAAGTCTGAAACTTCTACGAGATTACATAAGTGGTTGTAAGGAGAATATTCATAGAAATACAGACGATAAAGGCAATTCTGATGAGGTTTCAGGTAGAAATGAAATACAAGATATTGGACACTGGAATATAGGTCATCCCTGTTATAAAGTGACAAATAATTTAGCTGAACTGTGTCCATGCCTGAGAGCAGAATTTAAGAGTGATAAACTAGGATATCTGGTGGAAGAAATTTCTAAGCAAAATATTGGAGAAGTTTCATGGCTACTTTTAACTGTATGAAGTAAAATGTGAGAGGAGAAAAATGATTTAAAGATGGAATTTATATTTAAAAGGGAAGTAGAAATGAAAGATTTAAAAAATTCCCATCTTAGCCATGTAAAAAATGAAAAAGTGTGTTTAGGAGAGCAAACCAAAGGTGTGGCAAAGAGACTATTTGCTAAGGAAATTATTAATAGTATGAATAGAGAGATGCTCTTCATCAAGACAATGGGAGAATGACCCTGAAGGCATTTCAGAGATCATGAAGGCAAGCTAGGACCTTGAAAGCAAGGTTTCCATAGAGGTGCCCATGAGATCTCAGCATTCACTGCCCTGTGCCTCCTCAAGTCTCTGCTCCCTACATCCTGGCACAGTGCTCCACCATTACAGCAGTCATAGCTGACACCAACCTGGTTGTAGTTCATGCTGTCACCCCATAGGACACAAGTAGTAAGCCTTGGCAGCATTCATGAGATGCTAATTCTGCAGGTGCACAGAGTTTTCAAGCTGTGGAGGGGGACCTCCACCTAGATTTCAAAGGATATTCCAGAGAGCCTGGGAGTTCAGGTAGAGATTTGTCATGGGGAGCAGGGGGAATTCAGTAGGGAGCCTCAACCTGGGCAATGCCCAGCAGAACTGAGGGGTTGCAGCTTCCACAGAGACCCCAGAACTTTAAAGATACCAGCATGCAATGCCAGCCTGGGAAAGCTATATGCACAAAACTCTAACCTGTGAGGGCTGCTATGTGGGGTAAGCCCCAAAAAGCTGTGTGGGCAGGGCTGCCAGAGGCCTTGGGGGCCCAACCCCTGCCCCAGTATGCCCAAAAGGTGGGGCATAGGGTCAAGAAAGATTATTCTGGAGCCTTAACATTTGATGTTTTTCACTTTGTTGAGTTTTGTACTTACTTGGGACCAGTTACCCTATCTTCTTATCTATTTATTTCTTTAGGAATGTAAATGTCTCTTCTATACCTGTTCCACCATTTTATTTGGGAAATAGATAACTTTTTTAATTTCATAGGCTCACAGCTAGAGGGGAATTTGGTAAGGATAAATTATCTCATCCATATCTTGATTTAGATGAGACTGTGAACTTTTGAGTTGGTACTGGAATACATTAAGACTTTGGGGCTATTGGGATGAAATGAATGTATTTTATATATGAGAAGGACATGAATTTGGGGGGCTGGGGCAGAATGCTATGGTTTGAATGTATCCCCTAAAAGGTATGTGTTGGAAATTTAATCCCCAATGCAACAGTGTTGGGAGATGAGACCTTTAAGAGGTAATTAGGCCATGAGGGCTTTACCCCCATGAATGGATTAATACCATTGGCACAGGAGTGGGTTTGTTATCCACAAGAGTGGGTTTGTTTTAAAAGGGCAAGTTCAGCCCTTGCTCTCTTTTGACTTCTCTTACCCTCTTGCTTCACACCATGGGATGACACTGTAGGAAGGCCCTTGCCAGATGTGGGCAGCTTGATCTTGGACTTCCCAGCCTCCAGAACTGTAAGAAATAAAAGTGGCAATACCATAGACAATGAGGTTACTCTACGGTACAATTATTGCTAATTGAAAACTTTTTCCAATACTTCCTTGTAATGACTTTCAAGATAGTAGACATAGGCAATTTTTAACCGTTTCTATAGAAACTGAATTTTTTAAAAAGAGAGGAAAAAAATTTTAAAAGTTCTGTTCCTTATAAATTACCCAGTCTCAGGTATTCTGTTATAGCAGCACAAAAGAGATGAAAACAAGTACCTATAAAACTGTTCTTCTAATATCCTTTGAATTCTTCTAGTCATAGACCATCTTTTGGAGTAAATATGATAGAACAAGCTTCTTATTCTGTTATTTCCAACTACTCATTGGAAAAGAGAAAAAGTATAAAGTAGAACCCATCTTTGCATTACCATTAACTAGTTCCGTGACCTTAGGCAATCATTTGTCTTATAAAAGCTTCAATTTTCCCATTTTATAAATAAAAGAGTGGAACTAGATACTGAGAATAAATATGTTAATACTACTTTGCAGATGACTTATTTTGCCTTATTTGGTCTTCAGAACTTTGTAAATACTTCACATACATTAAATTATTTAATCTTCATATAACCCTTTAAGGTTGACACTATTATCCTAGTTTTACAGATGAGACAACTAAGGCATGGAAATTCTGAGTAATTTGAAAATTCTATAAAAGAAGTCTATGGGCCAGGTGCGATGGCTCATGCCTATAATCCTAGCACTCTGGGAGGCGAAGGCGGGCGGATTGCTCAAGGTCAGGAGTTCGAAACCAGCCTGAGCAAGAACAAGACCCTGTCTCTACTATAAATACAAAGAAATTAATTGGCCAACTAATATATATAGAAAAAAGTTAGCCAGGCATGGTGGCACATGCCTGTAGTCCCAGCTACTTGGGAGGCTGAGGCAGCAGATTGCTTGAGCCCAGGAGTTTGAGGTTGCCGTGAGCTAGGCTGGCGCCATGCCACTCACTCTAGCCTGGGCAACTGGGTGAGACTCTGTCTCAAAAAAAAAAAGGCTATGAAACAAGCCAGTTTCCTCTGAAGAGGCTTTATAAGGAATGTCAAATTAAATCTATGGTGTATCTAAGAATAAAAGCAAATGCCTAGTGAGGAAAATAGGGCTTGTTTTCTCATTGCCCACCACTGTCTTGCTCTTGGGCAAGTCATTAACTGCTCTGGATTTAAAATGAGAGAGGTGGTTTCAAGACTGTTGAATTGCCTATTACCCTAAAAGTATATATTTCTAAAATTATATCTGAACACAGCCTTTAAAAAACTATTTAAATAAGATTCCTGAATATATATTTAAAGTGTTTTTTGCTGTACTTTGCATTATACTTTTCAATTTACTCATGCAGATCAGACATATAATTAATCCAATAAATTATATATATTATATAAAGATGTTATGTAAAATGTATTTATGTTATGTAAAATGAGATACAGTACATTAAAGAGTTTATTTAGTAGTACTCACTCTTGTTGTTTCCTTGAATTATCATTACCTATAAGCAAATTAGAGGTGTGTGCCAACCCCAGTTATTTTGGAGCTACTTTCACAGAGACTTTCTGACTGCTGATATTTATGCACATATATTTTAGCCTAGGCCCACAATTCACTGAAGATCATGATCTTTCCACTTCCTACTTTATAATTCTTTTAGTTTCTTACATAAGACTCCTCTCTAAGGTCTTGAATTGAATTTTTTAGGAAATACAGACTCATTCATGAAAGGTATCTAGAACATAGATTGTCTACACAGCGTTATAGTTAGGTATGTATAGCAAATGTATCATAGATTACCCAAATGACTACTGGAGGATAGGTGAAAAATGAAGGATAAGTAAAAGCTGTTTTTTATACTTCCAGTGAAGCACAACTTTGAATAATGTAAATAATCTTTGGCAGCCACAGAAATGTTCAGAACCACCAGGAGTGCAATGATATGATCTTCAAAAAAATTTTTTTACTTTATTTTTTGAACTGACATTAAGGGCCAGGGTGAAAATAGAAGTACTCAATACAAACATTTACTATAATCTGACTAAGAGACATTCCCTGTGTACATAGAAGTATAGAATATGGAGGCATTTAACTTTAACCACTTAATGTATGTATTTCAAGTAGTCAGAGTTATTAGATGACAGATCCAAGGGTGTAACATGTCAGGGGTCAGAGGAAAGGGGTGGTAGTAACAATGGTAATGATAGCAACAAAATTTACATTTATTCTGTGCTTCTTATGTTACTAACACAGTGTTAGACACTTTAGCCCACTAAGTCACACAAAACCCTATTTTCATCCTTTGACAAATGAAGAAATTGAGGCTGAGAGAGGCAAAATGACTTGTCCAAAGTTAGATGGTTAGTTAGTTGCAGAAACTATTTGAATTCAAGCAGTCTGCTCCTGAGACTTTACTCTGAACCACCGTGCTCTCACAATCACTAATTAGACACACATTTGTTAAATGCCACCCAGTGCCAACTTGTTTACATAATCATTTCTTTAATTCTCTTTCAGATAAATCAAAACCCAAGAAGCATCATGGACATAAAAATACCAATAAAAAAGAAAAAGCAGTGAGTAGATTGAGATATCCTTTAAAAACCATTGTTAACATTTTACTTTGTTTTGAATTAACAATTACTGAGTATCTTTCATCAAGAAAGTATATACCTTATTATTATAAATTTATTATAAATCAATTTTATTATTTTTAATTTTATAGTTATTATAAATTTATAAATTATTAAAAAGCAATATAAACATAACATCAGCTTTAGCAGGTATACTATTTAATTTGTTGCTTTTGCCTTCTCCCAAATAGCTATTGCTTAATAGACCACAATGGCACCAGAAAAATACAAACTATGGCCATCCATTATAATATGAGCAGTTTTAAAGAAGCCATTCTCCTCATACCAATTTCCCATTAATACCTGAGGTTAACTATCTTGGATTCCTTTCTTTGAACACTGAAAATTTGTAATTGTTCAAGATTCAGTTGTTGAAATGTCATACCACATGAATAGCAATAAGTATTTCAGAAATGAGACAGAAATTGTGTGGCTTGGGATGAGGATAAGGCAAGAAAGAAATACTGAGATGAAAGATGAGAAGAGGAAAAAAAAAAACTTGGTCTACCTCATATTTTGCATTCAGAAGGCAAGAACCATACTCACACAGGGAAGAAGATTCCAAGCCTTAAAAGAAGTGTCAGTGTTTTTTCTTACAATTTTTAATGTAAATTTTGGCTTATTGTTGTTACCACTAATAGCTGCTGTTTGTTGTCTACTCTGTGACTTTCCCATAAAGGTGTCAGTAGTGTTAGGCAAGTGTTTGCAAGTATACTCTGAAAATATTTTCCTACTCCCAAGTATGCTACACTTTCCACTCCTTCTAAGATCACTGGTAGCCAAGGCTAGAGGCCACCTGTGGATGTGGTAAACTGCATGCCACAAGTCCCCAGGGGCCTAGACTGGGGACAGTTGAGGCCTAGGTGGAGTGTAGGTTATTCAACTCAGGTAAAAAACTACAAATGGTGGGTATATTTTTTTGTTAAGAGGCCTCTCTAGGCCGGGCACAGTAGCTCACGCCTGTAATCCTAGCACTCTGGGAGGCCGAGGCAGGAGGATCTCTCAAGGTCAGGAGTTCAAAACCAGCCTGAGCAAGATCGAGACCCTCGTCTCTACTAAAAATAGAAAGAAAATTGGCCAACTAAAAATATATAGAAAAAATTAGCCAGGCATGGTGGTGTATGCCTGTAGTCCCAGCTACTCGGGAGGCTGAGGCAGGAGGATTGCTTCAGCCCAGGAATTTGAAGTTGCTGTGAGCTAGGCTGATGCCATGACACTCTAGCCCGGGCAACAGAGTGAGACTCTGTCTCAAAAAAAAAAAAAAAAAAATAGAGGTCTCTCTATTTCAGAAAAACTACCTTTGCTACTAATATTAGTCCCAAAACATACTCAAACACACACACACAATATTCATATAATTTCTATACATAAGTTCATCACTTTAAGATACAGGCAGAAAAAAAAGAGAAAAGTTATGGGAGATAAATGAAAAAGAGAGATTTATCATGGCATTAGGGAGAGGTACAATGGCTAATGAAAGAGAAAGGACAGTCTTCATATATGCCAATATAGTAGAAATCCAGATGAGATAAGGACATCCTAACTTATCTTCACAAATCTTCATCTGATACTGCTACTGTTTAATGTATAAAGTTATTACTTAAGAGCATCAAGCAATAAAGGAACCTACACACATGCAGAAGTTTTATATTAAAATGAATAAACTTCAGTTTTGCCAAGATGGAATAGCCCCATTCCTCCCAGGTCCTCCTCCTTACAACTAAAATGTAGACACAACACAACAACCAAGCACAAGAAGTCTCTGAAAGATGGAAAGAAGAAAGTGAGATGCCTGGCAATCTCAGGACTTGAGGAAGGACATGATGGTAAGTTCCCTAAGTTTCCTTATTGCGTCCCGTATGTTGTGAACAGAATGTTATAGAAGCTTCCAATCAGAAACTGCCTAAGAGGATACATAAAAAATCTCTAAGGAAAGCCTGCTGCTCCTAGCTAAATGATCTGGAAAAGAGTGGGCAACAGCAAAACATCTTTTTGGCAATATCTATCCTACTGTAGTCAAACAACGATGGAAAAATCACATTCCTCCTCTCCCCCCACATGGTATCAGTGGATCCAAGCAGAAAATTGATTCATCTCATTGCCACCCCCTCAACCCTGGAAAGAAGGTAGTCTGCTCTAATTTCCCAATAGGTGTCCATGGGACCAAGCAGGCAGCCAAACTTCATTTCCATCCAGAGGATTAAGGCAGTGCTCCAATCCCCTGCCTAAATAATGTTGTCAGACTAAGCTGGCAGTTGATCTTTCATTGCTTGCAGGGTGAAAGCAACCAATGCTCTGGTTCCCCCACCAAGGCAGTGTCAGTTGGGTCCAGTGGCAAGCTGAATCCCTTTCTCCACCTGGTTGCAATAAAACTTACTGAGGCCATGCAAGTGGCCCTCGTCACGACTAGACTTTAGACTCCCCTCCATGTCAGCAAGACCCAGTGCGTAGCTGGGCCTTCACCCCTCCCTTGTATCAATGAGACAAAACTAGGTGATGGGAGGCAGACTACATGGCACTCTGTTTTTCTCCTCTACTCTCTGGTGCCAGGAGGCACAGGGGACAGATGATCTTATACTCACATTTGGAAACAAGAGGTGGTATGAGTTTCTGCCCCACTTTTGCTGGAAGAGTATCAGCAAGGCCAAGGAAAAAGCTTGACTTCCACCCTACCTGCCTGCAACCAGACAGTATAAGTCAGTGCCCCACTTTTGCTGAGGTTGTGTCAGGGGGGCCAAGCAGGAAATTGGACATGCATACCCACAGGCTGGCTCCCATGTCACACATCAACAGGGTGACTATCTGCTCATAAAAGACTTAATCCAGAGTCTCATAATATCCTAAATGTCTAGTATACAATTAAAAATTATTTATAGCAAGGAAAATCATAACATGAATGAGAAAAGATAATAAATGCCAAAACCAAGATGAATCCAATGTTAAAAATTACCTGACAAGAATTTTAAGCAGCTTCCAAAAAATGTTTCATCAAGCAATTATAAATTCTCTAGAAATAAATGAAAAATTAAAATTCTCATCAGAGAAATAGAAGTTATTTAAAAAGATCAAATGGAAATTATAGAACTGAAAAAGACAATAACCAAAATAAAAATATCACTGACTCAGCTTAATGATAAAGTAGAGATGACAGAGGATATAAGCAGTGAATTTGAGGAAAGATCAATAGAATTTACCTAATTTGAGCAACAGAGATAAAGGAGACTAAAAAGAAAATAAACAGAGTTTCAGAGACCTGTGGAACAATAACAAAAGAGTTAATGTTCATATCATCAGAGTCTCAGAAAGAGAAGAAAGGATAGAGGGAAAGGGAAAGAAGAAAGGAGGGTGTGTGTGTGTGTGTGTGTATGTATGAGAGAGAGAGAGGAGGGAGAGAGAGAGAGAGAGAGAAAGAGAGTGAGAGAGAAAGTGTGCACGCAAGTACATTTTTAAAATACTAGCCAAAAATGTCCCAAATTTGGTGGAAGACAAACATATAGATTTGGGAAGCTAAGAAAATCCCAAATAGGATAAACTCAAAGAAATCTATACAAAGACACACACCATTATTAAAATTCTAAAAACTATAAACTGGAAAAATCTTAAAAGTAGTCAGAAACAATGCATTACCTATGGGGAAATACCAATTTGAATGACAGTGATTTTCTTATCTAAAATCATGGAGGCCATAGGATGTGACACAATATTTTTCAAGTGCTGGGGGAAAACACTGTTTAACTGTGTTTTCCCACAGTTAAAACACTGTTTAACTGTGAATTCTATACCCTGCAAAACTATCCTTCATGAATAAAAGAGAAATAAAGATATTCTCAAAGGAAACCTAAGATAATTTGTTGGTATCAAACATACTCTTAAAGAATAGCTAAAAGAGAAACAGCTCTTAAAGAAACACAAAGAAAATTATAATAGGAGGAGGCTTGGAATTTCAAAAAGAAAGTAACATCATAATGTACAACTATAATAGATTATTATATTCATTATTATACTCATATAAAAACTCATGAGTTTTTAAATAATATGTGATGGTTGAAGCAAATGTTATAACACCACCTGATGTGATGCATAATAAAGTTTGAGGGAATACTTAAGAAGTTTATATTTTAAAAGTAGGGATGGTGAATGGGCCTAAAATAGAAGCAAGATTTCTACAGTTCACTTGAAGTGATATAACATCTATACCCTAGACTGTAATAAGTTATGTAAATATATTATAATACCTAGAGCAACCACTAAGAAAACTATACAAAGTGATGTACTCAAAAACACTGTAAATAAATCAAGATGAAATCCTAAAAAAGTTCAGATAACCCATAGAAAGGTAAGAAAACAGAAACAGAGGAATGAGAAGTAGAGGAAATAATCAGAAAATAAGAAAATGGCAGACTTAAGCCCCAACATGTCAGTAATTATTAATACCTTAAATTTAAATGGTATAGAAATGTCATTTAAGAGACAGACTTGGCAGTGTGAATAAAACACGTGATTCAAAACAAAAAAAACCAGATTCAATAATATGCTGCATATGAGAAACTAACTTCAAATACAATGATATAGGTAGATTAAAAGTGAAAGAATGGGGAAAGATATGTCATGCAAATGTTAGTTATGAAAAGCAGGAATGGCTGTATTCATATTAGATAAACTAGACTTCAGTGCAAAGAAAATTATTAAAGACAAAGAGGTATGCTATATAATAAGTATCAAACTTTAAGGAAGACGTAACAATCCTAAAGCAACAGTGTCTGAAAATAAAATACATGAGACAAAATTCAGTAGAACTGAAAGAGAAAATAAAATACACAGTTATAGTTGAGGAGACCAATACCCCACTCTCAGCAATTTATAGAACTGCTAGGCAGAAAATCAACAAGAATGTAAGATCTGAACAACACAATCAACAAACAAGATCTGACACTCCATCCAAC